AGTGGAGATTCTGTCTTCAGCCACATAAATTGTGTCCTTCCTTTTCAAAAGAATTGGCGTTTGGTTAACCAGCCATGAATCTTAGCTTTGATTCTGCAGGATGTCACATGTAAATACCAGTAACTTGAGTGAGCGTAGATGATATAGTTGCTCTCGATTTTTCATTTTTAGCGTCTTTCGAGCGTCACACTTCGTAATTTCAGAACAGCAAAACGAGATTATTTCAAATAAAAGCATATAACAAGGTCCACTTAACCATTATAGAACTTGGTTTAATTTGTATACATAGCCATAGACTCGTAGGATAACTAGAACGTATACTACTCAACAGATCTTTAACTACATAAGTTGGAGGCGATGAAACCCTCGAACCAACGATTTGCTATGCGCTAAGTCTACTCTGACATGTCGAAGGCGCCTACCTGAGATCACACTCTTATTAGCTTGCTTAATATAAATATGCATATTTCTAGAGAGATCACTCCAAAACATTAGAAACAAACACGAGAGCAAACAGAGCGCCGTGAATTTTCAGTTTGCAGCATCACCCTCATGAAGGAGATACTGGTCAAAGTGCCACACTCCTGCAAGCCATGAAATACCTCATTAGATAAGAGTCCAGAAATTGAGATAACTCATTAGATAGGGTGAATCGGAAGGAAAATATGATGGTGAAGAGTTGGACGTATGAAATACCATGGCCTTTTCCAACCCTTCTCAGTTGAGTGACATAGTCAGCTATCTTCTTGATGGCCTCAACCTGTAAAATAATACGCGAATAAGCTTTAGTCGGTGTTAGAATACTGCAAAGCACCGGTTTTTCTTACTAGTCCGGTGTAAAAAGCTGTGATTGTTCTTGTCCGAGTTGGTTAGTGATGAAAAATGTTTTTCAGTGTAATTGCAGATAGCGTTTTCTCTTGGATTTTTGTATGTTCACTTACCGAAATGATTAACAACCAAAGTAAGAACCGATGGTGGCTTTTTACTCTAACAATGACAATATCACAATAGTAATTCAACCTAGCACTAGAGTAGAACACGTGTTTAATTCACCTGCTCAGCCAGAAACTCGCTCTCGATAAAATCCATCAATTGGGGATCATTGTTCTGGTCTGCAACCTGTTTTGGATCAAATAAAGAGAATTTAATACGAAAAGAAAGCGTCAAACGGAAACCAGACCCCATGAGCCTTATCAATGACTTCAAAACCAATCTTATATCACAGAAATGTGTTACCTTATGCAAGTTCAAGAGTTTTTCATTTGTCAGCTTCTCCAAAGACAATGCTAACTCCATAGCTGCATCAACGAATCAACGAAAAAGTTTCAGATAAAGACATGCACATTCTCTAATTACACATATCAGCAATCCATCATTCAGCAGCAAAGAAATTGTCAACGCCGATAAGTGTGTTGCCTACGGAATGAAAAATCTTACCATACAATGCATCTCCCTTTTCTGCATGATCAAACTCCGTAGGCGCCGCGATTACAGAGTGCAGTTTCACTCTCCCACCTCGCTTGTTCTGAGAAATAAATCGCAATACCATCAGATCTCGCAATACAAGACCCTAACACATGAACGCGCGCGCGCACACACACAAAAACTCGTATACCTGATATTCCATCAGCTTTTCGGCATGTTCTCTTTCTTCCTCGCTCGATTCCTTGAAAAAGCTGTTACATCACAACCAATTAACCATACATCAATTTAAAATATAAAATTTTAAATTGCGCGTGCAAAGACACTAGTATATTATATATTAAACGGGGATATTTAGGAATTTAGTGTGTTTACTTGGCAAGGCCCTTGAGAGCAACGTTGTCCCTGTCAAAGTACGCAAACAGTGCATGGTACACATACGACACATTGTATTCCACACTGTCACACAAAAATTTAAGATTTAAGATTACCATATGAAAAAAAATCATCAAAAATCAAAACAATAATGAATGAAATTAAAATTTTGTAACAACATAGAGATACACACTTGATCTGCTCGTTAATGGCGGCCTCGGACTCATCTGTGTAACGCTGACGGGCAAGAGAGACCTGAGGAGACACAGGGACAACAAAAGCATCGTTCTTCACCTCCTCAAACGGCTGAAACACCACGCCGGTCAACGCCACTGCTTCGCTCGATACAGAAGCCGCAAACTTTTCGAGTTTTCGCTGCGGTTTAAAGCTCAGAGTAGAAGAGGATGATCCAAGTTTTGAGTTGGGCAAGAGGGTGGTAACAGCACCGCCTTTGTCCCCTAGCTTGGATGGGACGGAAAACGTCGAAATGGCCCTCAGAGACATCATCGACACGGTTTTCGATCGGATTATCTCGAACGGGTGATTGGAAAGAAGAGAGTTTGAACAAGAATCTGGACTGGAAATTGCAGAGGAAATGGAGAACGGTGAAGAAATGTGGAGGCTGAGAGTGGGGTGAGGGGCTATATAGGGATATGGAGGAAATCCAGTTGGCATGGGCTTTATTCTGGACCGTTAGATCAGAGAATAGGTGGGTGGCTACGATTCGAACACGTGTTAGGGCGTGTGGTGAGCTCGTGGTGGTTATCCAAATACCACTGAAGTCGTGGAATCTATCGTCCTTTCCGTTCCACGTTGCAATCGCAGAAGGGTCACAATTTTGTCTTTTTGTTATTCCAGTTTCCCACTCGCTCGACTGGCCTAAGCGCAAATTCGCGCTATTTCGGTCGCCTGAATATCAGGAAAGGGCACTTTCGTAAAATGCAATAGTTTTCCATTGGCGAGTACGCGAGTAAACTGCTTTTATAGCGTGGCGAGCTTGGAAAAGTTTTTTCTTGCTCAAAATCTTTGAAAAGTATTTTAAAGTTGGAAAACTAATTATAGAATATTGATGTGAGAATTAATGTTAAATTGTAATGTGACAAGATTCATGGAGAGTCCAATTTTGAGAGTTTTCTTAGCATTTCTATTAATTATAGTTATTGTTTGTGTTTGATTTATTCAATCTAATTGCAAAAAACAGAAAGCCGTGTGTGAGAGTCTAAGAGGTGTGTGGGAAAAAAAAAATCATATCCTTATATCAAAAAATGGGGATTAGTTGTGGGACTGGCTTCACATCAAACTTCAACAATCTAAACCATCTATTTTGTAAATCTCGATTCATAGATCATCCTTACAAAATTTTAATTCAATCCGAAACCATTTGCCTATTTAATTATCACAATGAAATTTCAATATTTTTTAGAGAAAAAAATGTTCGTCAATTTATTTGAACTTAATTAGATGCCTTAAATATTTTTGATTTGGCTAATATTTTGCAAGTATGATCTATGAGATGCAACTTGAACAATAAATGATTCAAATTGCTAAAGATTAATGTGGTATGGATCCTACAACTAATTCTCGTTTTCATAAAAAAAAAAATAGGCTGCTTACTATGTAATTTAGTTGAACTCCCATTCCCTTTAGACCAACTCCAATGGTTGGGCTAAAAGCCAAATTTTTTAGCCTGAAAAATTTAGCTTTTAGCCCATACTCCAACCATTTTGGAATAAAATTTTAGCCCGGAATCATTAAAGAATGAACTTAGGCTATTTTTTCCTTAAATTAAATTTAAAAAATAAATAAATATGTAGACTATCGTAAATTAATTTTATGAACATTTTAATCTAAAAATATTTAAATTCCAATGAATATTGAAAAATCACTAAATATGTGGATAAATTATTGAATGGAAGTTGAATTATTGAAGGCATCTATTCTACATCAAAGTGTGGAATAATAAGTACAATAATTATTGAAGACATCTAGATTAATAGAAACAATAATTAATAGGACATAAATTTGATAAAATACATAAACCACATAGCCATGCCAACCAACCACAGCTCTCTCCAAGCTTCCCTTCCATAAAGTGCATGCTTTGTTGATAGTCTTCCACCGATCATAAACACCACTACCATCCCGCCCGCCGCCATTGCAATTTTCTTGAAACTTTGCAATGATTTTATCTCACAAAACCTTCTTATTTTGATTTATGCGAACTGCACCATCTTCTCTAACACAAACTCATGCCAAGCATAAAGCAACATCTTCCTCACATGTCCAATTACGACCTCTAATATGCTCTCTTGCCATGTTGAACAATTTGGAAATGGAAAGAAATGGTAGAAAGATATATTGGAAGAATTGTAGGAGAAAAATGAGTTTTGTGTGAATGTTTGAACAAATACATAGGTATTTATAGAGTTTTTGGGTGAATTTTGAGTTAAATATATATTTTTAATTATTTTAGCTGTTGGATTTAAATTTGGGCCGTTAGATCTTTTTTTTTTACCGTTAGATTTGATTATATTTGATATCAGCAGTTGAATTCAATAATATATAAATATAAAATAATTTTTTTTTGAATCTAGACCATTGGATTAACCAACGGCCTGATGATCACAGCCATTCGATCGAAAAAGCCGTTGGAGCTCTGGGGAACGTGGCCGACAAGCCCACGTGGGTGGGTACCAGCCAGTCTGAAGAACTGCGCGTTAGGCGCATTTGGCGAGTCCACGGGCTGGGTTTGGAGCCCAAACGCTGAAAACCACTCTCTTCGGTGGGGCACACTCCGATTTTGGGCTACATTTTGGGCGGTTTCTGGCCTCACTTCCCCTTTAAGCATCTAGCCCACATTTTCCCCTTGGGTTGGAGTGAGTGTGGAGGGAAATTTTGGGAGGAATTTAGCATTTAGCCCACCATTGGAAGTGATCTTAGTGTAAAAATATTAATGCATTAAAAAAAAGAAAAAAAAAAGAAAAACAACAACATAGGGGTTAACGCTTGGCAGTCTATGGTCTCACACCGTGGTGCTCAAATCCGACAAGGAGTCGTTACCCCCACCGACTCCATTTTGAGATGCGTGCTACCATCCCTAAAATTCGACACGTGGTAACCTCTCGTTGGATCTTTTGCATGAGAATCGGAGTACGTGTAGGAAAACCATAGCTTTGTCATTAAAAGACCGCTTTGGAAGGAGGACGCTTGTCTCCTCTACATAAGCTGCATCTGTGCAGCTAACAGAAGAAGAAGAATACACGAAAAAGTGTCTGCAAACCCTAAACAGAAATTTGAGCTTTCCTCTTTGCAACTGAGTTCGAATCGCTCTTCAATTCGCCCTTTCTGTAAATTAGAGAAGTTTGTAGAATAATTCTTTGGAAGAAACAAAAACGAGAGAAAGAGATGGAGGATGTTATACCAGAGTCTGAAAGCCTGCTGCTTCCGGTGAATCTCCGCCATACAAATGGCGGAGCCAAAACAGAAGGTCATGGAGCTGTTAATGGAGGTGAAGGGACGGAAAAAGGGTACATTCACAGCGAGCAAGGTGAGGGCAAAGAAGTTGATGCAGAGAAGAAAAGCATGATCGAAGGTACTGAGGAGGAAGAAGAAAAGGGAGGTGGTGGGATTATAACACACCTTATATCTTTAGTTTCTTCGGGGAGCGTTCCGAAAGGCGGGGATGCTGGAAAAAGAAAAGGTGAGTTTGAAGTCGATGATGTGGGAAACGAGGGGTTTTCTAATAAGTTGGAGAGAGAGGGTGGTGGTGGTGGTGAAAATGGTAATGGAGGGGTTTTCTCAAATCTCATCTCCAACTTTTTTAACCAGAGTAATGGCGGCGGAGGAGGAGGAGGAGAGGTTGATGAGGTGAACAAAGAAGCTGAGAATGTGATGAAGGATATTGGGAATAAGAGGATGAAGACGGCAGAGGAGGCGGAGGAGGGTGGCGGTGGAGGTGGCATCATTGACAACATTGTCTCTCACTTGCCTACAAAACTTCCAGGTCAGTCCGTTAGTTCTTCTCTAAAATAATTTTAAAGTATTTTGTTTGTCCTCATTTTAACTGATTGGAATTGCATTTTATAGAAACTGCTTTTGTTCATAAGCACTTTTGTTATGCGTGTTTGAATAATTTTTTTCTAAAAATAACTTCGAAGTTTATGTGACGGTGCGACGATCGCACCAAAGATTTATTTGTGAACTGAGAATATTGTCGAATGAATTTCTAATGACCAGATGATGCAGCTCCGACAGCGGATGAAGCCTCCATTCTTATTACCTCGATTGTCAAAGACTAAGCAGGCAATGTGTGCCTACTAGTACAACAAGTGCCTGTATTTTATTTTCTTTCCCTTCCAAATTGTTGTTGTTTTCTGTTTTTTTTTCGATTTCGGTGTTGTTGTTTTTGTGGTAAATTGTTAATGTTAATGTATGTTATGATTTGGTAAGGCTCTCTGTATTGATTTGATACAAGAATGGCATTGGAAAACTCACTAGTTCTTGAGGTGTGCAAGATTAGATACCATCTGTCTTCAATTTTATATTTTGATACAACTTGGTTACTGGTGGTTGGCCCAAAAAACAAAAACCAACACCAAGTAAGCCCAAAGTTCACCAAGAAAGGGAAACAAAAATAGGCCCATATGTGGAGATTCAGCACACTTTAACCAAAACATACGATTCCTTGCGCTGCAAACTCTCTCTATGACTTCGTATTGTCTAAAGAATTGGATTAGAATGGATAACTCATTGTTTCTTCTTTAAACATACATTGAGTATAGTGGTTTATCTATTCTAATCCAATATAAGAGACTAAACGAGGCTAGCGTTTTTGCTTTACAATGTAGTCCAATAACCTCTTTTAAGTTCAACTAACCAACATTTGATACGGTTGTAGTTGTCCCAGCTCGGTTGAAGAATGTCTTAAATTTGAATCATATTAATGTTAGTATCATATACATTGCAATGTGTACATTATTCAGGTCCAGTTAATTCGCTAACATAACTTTGTCGTATAGCCATCTTGTAAAAGTGCTTTTGTAAATTGAATTGTCAAAACGAACTTGAAGCCCTATCTATTATAGGAACTATCAATTGCTACAATTGAAATGAGTAGACCTGTAAACGGGTCAGATTTATTGGGTTTGGGTCGGGTTGAACCCGACCCGTTAAGCTAACGGGTCACCCGTTTCACCCGTTAACACCCGTTAACAATTATTTTTATTTTTATTTTTTGCATAAAGTTTATTTTTTGTCATTAAGATTTTACTAAAATTACTAAAATATCCTCAACTAACGGGTGTTAACGGGTCCTAACGGGTCTAATGGGTTGACCCAAAGTGACCCGTTATTTAACGGGTTGTTAACGGGTTCACCCGTTAACGACCCGACCCGTTAAGCATCCACCCAAATACAAATATTAACGGGTTGGGTCGGGTCGGGTTAACGGGTTGGATCCAAAATGCCAGGCCTAGAAATGAGTACCAAAAACACAAGATTGCAAGTCTATATAATCTCAAATCTCAAAAGATAATGTCATATTGGGAGATGATGATTTATTTGGTGGCAGTCGGTGAGACGTGATGGAGTACAGTTGAAGAACACACAACCAACCATAAGCGGTTGCATATCACATGCTTTCACTCCCTCCACTCCACTACCACTACTAGAAGTGCTAATAGGGATTAAGTGACAACCAAAGTAACAACTATGGCCTTGGACTTTTACGTAAGTTACACTGAAGTCTTTTGAATTTTTTGTATTTTTATTACTTTTTTAAACTTTCAAAAATAACAGCGACGCTTTTTAAGATGCCAAGTTCATTTTGTTTAAACTTCCGTCTAAAATTGATGACGTTACCGAGACAAATTTTCACATAACCTAACTTTATGCTACATGGTATATGTTACATATCACAACACTAACGAACCAATTTAATAAACAATAATAACAATAAAATAAAAGTGTAGAAGCACAAACTATATGGCACTAAAAGAAAATCCAGCTAACCGTTTGACTGGGGACCCATCACTACCTCCCTCCATTATTATTAAATTAAGAAGCTTGGGAATCAAGGATATGAGAAAAGCAAAAATCCAAAAACACTCTCCTACTCATTGTCCATTTCTTCCAAATAAAGATTGGGCGGGGTTATCTCACAAGCTTTTTTAACTTTTCACACACATGTTAATTTCAGTTTTTTTTTTTTCAGTTCATTTGATCTAACAAAAATTAAATAAATAATGTATATAAAGTAAAAAATAAATGTGTAAATAACATCATTATAAAGAGTTTCGATTACCAAATTTTCTATCATAAAAATTTTGAATTTAGTTTGTTTATGTTCATTTTTTTAACAATCCCACTCACAAGTTTTAACTCAGGTTAGACCACAAAACCCAAATTCTCAAATTGGGTAAATCCCACCTGCCATACAAAATTGAACCATTAGGTAAAATACCAATTTTATCCCTCCCTACTTGATAAGATTGACATTGGAAGCAAAGTTGAATTGGGGCTGACACAGGTGGTGTGATATGATTGGCCACAGGTTTAATTTTGGAAGGATCCAATCAGAGTGCAACAAAAATACTCTGTTTTCATGAGTGTTGCTTAGTGCTATGTCTACATGCATTTTGTTGGCTTTGCTTGGAGTTGGATATTAGTATTTTAGTGAGGGGAAGTTAGGACTCAAGTGCAAAATTCAACATATAAAATGGAGAGGAGGGGAAGGAATAGGAACCATGTCAAGATGGTGGATTGGAAGACCTTGATTTGCTTCAAGCAATCCTTCGTCCTCCCAACTAAGTGGTTCCTTCTCAAGCTTACTTCACATTCAAGGCACAAATCCAAAGGTGAGTTAAGTTTTCAGTTACTCTCTCCCTTCTCCCTCTCTATCTGGCTCAAACTTCCTTACAGCAAAAATTCGATTGTGGCGGTATTCCAAGCCATCGATTGTGGCGGTATTCCAAGCCAATTATGCGTTGTTATTTGAAAATCTTAAAACTCAAAGAAGTTGTGTGATTGGTTTAGAATACTGACACGGTAGGATTCTCGGTAGGGATGAACTTCTCTGCTCGTTGAACTCTTTTTGAGATTTGGTTTAAATTTGCAGGAAATGGGCATGGATTGGTGAGCTTGTACAAAGACATGGAGTCCTGTGGGGAATATGAAGATATAAGAGTGATGTGGGAGATTATTCACTCTTGTCAACAGAATGCAAACAACACTATAAGGAGGAGGAAGTGGTCGTCTTCTTATTGGAGATTGTGTCTTCAGCCACATAAGTTTTGTCCTTCCTTTTCAAAAGACTTGGCGTTTGGTTAACCAGCCATGAACCTTAGCTTTGATTCTGCAGGATGTCACATGTAAATACCAGTAATTTGAATGACCATAGATGATATAGTTGCTCTTGATTTTTCATTTTTAGCGTCTTTCGAGCGTCACACTTTGTAATTTCAGAACAGCAAAACGAGATTATTTCGAATAAAAGCATATAACAAGGTCCACTTAATCACTACAGAACTTGGTTTAATTTGTATACATAGCCATAGACTCGTAGGATAACTAGAACGTTTACACTGCTCAACTGATCTTTAACTACATAAGTTGGAGGCGATGAAACCCTCGAACCAACGATTTGCGATGCGGTAAGTCTACTCTGACATGTCAAAGGCGCCTATCTGAGATCATACTCTTATGAGCTTGCTTAATATAAATATGCATATTTCTGGAGAGAGAGCACTCCAAAACATTAGAAACAAACACGAGAGCAAACAGAGCGCTGTGAATTTTCAGTTTGCAGCATCATCCTCATGAAGGAGATACTGGTCAAAGTGCCACACTCCTGCAAGCCATGAAATAGCTCATTAGATAAGAGTCCAGAAATTGCGATAAGAGGCGAATTGGAAGGAAAATATGATGGTGATGAGTTGGAAGAATGAAATTTGTTTCATACCATGGCCTTTTCCAACCCTCCTCAGTTGACTGACATAGTCAGCTATCTTCTTGATGGCCTCAACCTGTAAAACAATACGCGAATAAGCTTTGGTCAGTGTTAGAATACTGCAAAGCATCGGTTTTTCTTACTAGTCCGGCGTAAAAAGCTGTGAATGTTCTTGTCCAAGGTTGTTAGTGACGAGAAAAATGTTTTTCAGTGTAATTGCAGGTTTTCTCTTGGATTTTTCTATGTTCACTTATCGAAATGATTAACAACCAAAGTAAGAACCGATCCGATCGTGGTTTTTACTCTAACGATGCAACATCACAATAGTAATTCAACCTAGTACTAGAGTAGAAAACGTGTTTAATTCACCTGCTCAGCCAGAAACTCGCTCTCGATAAAATCCATCAATTGGGGATCATTGTTCTGGTCTCCAACCTGTTTTGGATCAAATAATGAGAATTTAGTACGAAAAGAAAGCGTCAAACGGAAACCAGACCCCATGAGCTTTACGAATGACTTCAAAACCAATCCTATATCACAGAAATGTGTTACCTTATGCAAGTTCAAGAGTTTTTCATTTGTCAGCTTCTCCAAAGACAATGCTAACTCCATAGCTACATCAACGAATCAACGAAAAAGTTTCAGATAAAGACATGCTCATTCTCTCATTACACATAACAGCAATTCATCATTCAGCAGCAAAGAAATTGTCAACGCCGATAAGTGTGTTGCCTACGGAATGAAAAATCTTACCATACAATGCATCTCCCTTTTCTGCATGATCAAACTCCGTAGGCGCCGCGATTACAGAGTGCAGTTTCACTCTCCCACCTCGCTTGTTCTGAGAAATAAATCGCAATACCATCAGATCTCGCAATACAAAGACCCTAACACATGAACACGCGCGCGCGGGCACACAAAAACTCGTATACCTGATATTCCATCAGCTTTTCGGCATGTTCTCTTTCTTCCTCGCTTGATTCCTTGAAAAACCTGATACATCACAACCAATTAACCATACGTCAAATTAAAATATAAAAATTTAAACCCCGCGTGCAAGGAGACTAGTATATTATATATTAAGCGGGGATATTTAGGAATTTAGTGTTTACTTGGCAAGGCCCTTGAGAGCAACGTTGTCCCTGTCAAAGTACGCAAACAGTGCATGGTACACATACGACACATTGTATTCCACACTGTAACACAAAAATTTGAGATTTAAGATTACCATATGAAAAAAAAATCATCAAAAATCAAAACAATAATAAATGAAATTAAAATTTTGCACAACATAGAGATACACACTTGATCTGCTCGTTAATGGCGGCCTCGGATTCCTCTGTGTAACGCTGACGGGCAAGAGAGACCTGAGGAGACACGGGGACAACAAAGGCATCGTTCTTCACCTCCTCAAACGGCTGAAACACGACGCCGGTCAACGCCACTGCTTCGCTCGATGCAGAAACAGCAAACTTTTCGAGTTTTTGCTGCGGTTTAAAGCTCAGAGCAGAAGAGGATGATCCAAGTTTTGAGTTGGACAAGAGGGTGGTAACAGCACCACCTTTGTCCCCTAGCTTGGATGGGACGGAAAACGTCGAAATGGCCCTCAGAGACATCGTCGACATGGTTTTCGATCGGATTATCTCGAACGGGTGATTGGAAAGAAGAGAGTTTGAATAAGAATCTGGATTGGAAATTGCAGAGGAATTGGAGAACGGTGAAGAAATGTGAGAGGCTGAGAGTGGGGTGAGGGGCTATATAGGGATATGGAGGAAATCCAGTTGGCATGGGCTTTATTCTGCACCGTTGGATAAGAGAATAGGTGGGTGGCTACGATTCGAACACGTGTGAGGGCGTGTGGTGAGCTCGTGGTAGTTATCCAAATACCACTGAAGTCGTGGAATCTTGCGTACTTTCCGTTCCACGTTGCACTCGCAGAAGGGTCAGAATTTTGTCTTTTTTCTATTCCAGCTCTCACTCGCTCGACTGGCCTAAGGGGAAATTCGCGCTATTTCAGTCGCCTGAATATAAGGAAAGGGTACTTTCGTAAAATGCAATAGTTTTCCATTGGCGAGTACGCGAGTAAACTGCTTTTACAGCGTGGCGAGCTTGGAAAAAAAATTTCTTCGTCAAAATCCTTGAAAAGTATTTTAAAGTTGGAAAATTATCATTCTAGAATATTGACGTGAGAAGTAATGTTAGATTGTAAGATGGCAAGATTCATGGAGATTCCTGTTTTGAGATAGTTTTCTTAGCATTTCTCTGAGAGGTGTGTGGGAAAAAAAAATCATCTCCTTATATCATTGTTGTGTAGCCCGGAAAGAGATTTTCATTTTTTTTCAAAAAAATAGGGATTAGTTATGGGACCAGCTCCACATTGAACTTCAACAATCTAAACCGTTTATTTTGTAAGTCTCAATTTATAGAACTTCCTTACAAAATTTTAATTCAATCCGAAATAATTTGACTATTTAATTATCACAATGAAATTTCAATAGTTTTTAGAGAACAAAATGTTCGTCAATTTATTTGAACTTAATTAAATGCCTTAAATATTTTTTATTTGGCTAATATTTTGCAAGTATAATCTATGAGATGCAACTTGAACAATAAATGATTCGAACTGCTAAAGATTAATGTGATGTGGATCCTACAACTAATTCTCGTTTCCATAAAATAAAAAAATTGAGATCCTTTCGCTTAAGGACTCCTATTGTTGTGTACATCAATAAAAGAAAAATAGAGTGTTGTAGCGTACAAAGTTGGGCATGAATGAAGATGGAAAGATGGGAAAAGGATCCTCGTTGGTTCCTTTTTCTGGAGATCTAGAGGATCTTGTGATTATGATCGCTCCGAATTCCGTAATTATGATCGTTCATCATATATCGTACAATCATAAATGATTTAAAATTTAAAATTAAATATAAATAGTATTTAACGAAAACTGACCACACGATATAACGATTATGATCACGGAATCCCCGGATTCCTAGAAAAATGATCCGGTGAGGATCCGGAAGATGGAAGAATCTGGACGCCTCTAGGACGAAAAGTATAACTTTTCATCTGGATGATATGATTGCAAATTTGCAAGGGAATAGTCGTAGTTGGCTAGCTGTTCATTTGCTATATGTTGGGATGGATTTGGGCAGGGGAAAGAAATTAATTGGGCTTACTAAGTCCTACAGCTTGATTTGTGAGTTGGGCCGAAAAGCCCAGACTGTAAAGCGGTGGCTAATTGGAGTGTGATGTCTAGATTAGTTTCAATTGAGATTTTGAGGAATTTTATGGGATTTATGAATTCATGAATTTAGATACGGTTTAATTGATTTATAAAGATTTCATGTAAAATTTTGTTTTAATTATCTCGAAATCTCAGGAGGAGAGATGAGATTTATGAATGCTTAAAATACAGTACGAAATCTCTACAATTGCCTCAAATTCCTCAACTTTTAAAAGTTTTAAATAAATTTCTAATTAAATAAACTTGAATGTTATAAACTTGTTTAAAATCCTGATTTAATACACTCGGATTTCTAAAAAAAATTAATAAACTATTTTAAAATCCTGATTGAATACACAATCATTTTCAGATAATACCTTAAAATCCTAATTGAATACCCCTACATTTATTAAAAGAACTAAAATCTATCAGAATCACAATTGAATACACTAAGTCATATTAACTTATTAGTAATTCGTTAACAAAATAGAAAAGGATATTAACTTATCGGAAGACCTTGTTGGAAAATATTAGTATTAGGTTTACTTTAATGTTTTGTTTTATGGGCTTAACCTGTTAGCATTAGGGTTTAGGGTTAGTTTATTATAAATAGAGTGCTTTGTTATTCATTAGATATCAAGCTATTCACAATGTAGTCTCTTAGGGTTTTGTAGCCGTTCCGGCATTATCAGTTAGTTTAATAATATTCCTATTATTTTGTTAGTCTCGTTTGTGCGTACTCTGATATTCAACTTGGTATCAGAACAGGTTCAATCCTTTGGGATTTAATCTGCTTGGTTGGGTTGGTATGTTATTTGTCAGTTTGTATGCTAGTTTTTGTTGTTGGTTTAGTTTGCAGAGGAAAACAAAAAAACCTGAACCTTCCACTGCGTCCAGTTCCCTGTGACATGAACCCTGCACCTCGCCTGCTTAAACCACCGCACCACCATCTCGCACCAGACCACCAGCCTGCACTCGCATCTGCCTGAACCGTACCCGCCATCGTTTCTTCATCAGATCACCACCACGCTGCCACCGGAACAACCTGCTTGCACCTGCACCCAGATCCCTTGCCGTCGTCCCGCGCACCCAATCACCATCCACCCATGTTGCCGCTGCTCATCACATCCTTGTTGCACTGCCTCCTGAACTCACCGAAGCACAAGACCAAGAAACATGCTACTGTTACTGCACTCGCTGCAAGCCCACGTTGCTGCAGTTCTGGAGAAGCCCAGCAGAAAAGGGAAAAAGGAAAGAAAAAAGAATAAGGGAAAAAAAAAAAAGGAAAAACATAAAATTTGTTTGGAGTTTTTGGCCCACACGGGCAAAAGTGGAAAAATGGGTTGTGGCTGTTTGCCGCCCATTTTGGTTGATGTTTTTGAAACCTATTTTGGAAAAATGGGTTGTGGGCTGTTTTGAATTGTTTTGTTCGTTTGTTGGTACAATTGAGATATGGAAATCTCGTCCGTTTAGTGACGGGTTCTTTCCATACTCTCAACTCTAGTCAGTCGGAACCACAATCAGT